TAGACTTTTCCACGATGACGCCTGTCATAGTTATAGGTAGCTAACGAAATTCAACAGACTCATTAGAATAAAATGGCAGAGCTTACTTGCGGAGCAATTTCACAGAGAGCGGGAAGTGTGAAAGTGTTCCTGTACGTGTAATGATTTTGGGCGGTAACCGCAAGGTCAGTCTTCTGTCATCTAAAAAGGAGTCCAGAAGGCGAAAAGGGTTAGTATCATATTAGCAAAAGTAATAAAGTGGGTCGTTTTGATATTGAGCAAAAAGGAGGTTTAACAGACAGCTGCCACTATAGCAATAGAATGAAAACAAAAAGTGAAGAAGTTTACTTGCTGGGCCTGACTCCATGACTGAACTGATGGCTGACGAATCAAAACTGAAAAGAGGCTGCATTACGGGCTAGGGTAATGTGGCACTTACAAGAACTTCTGCGTTCGTGGATTTCTGCCTGACACAGGCCTTATGTAGCCCATGTTGAGGAAGAAGTCAACAAACTTGTCCACTGTGTCTACATTGCCACCATTGGTCAGTAGGTAATCTTTCGCCCATTTGCGGGCCTCTTGCAAAGAAAACGGTCTGGGAAGCTCGGTTTGCCAATGAAGGAGACAAGCTCTTAGCTAAATGGGACTATTAACGGGGATCAGAAATTTACCTTCATTGTCGCGATAAATGGAGGCTTAACAGAAGCCTCCATGTCCGTTTACACGTTCTCTAAAATTCGCAAAAGACAACACACTATTAGTGCAGTGACAGCGAATTACCTTTTAAAATGATTTTATAGCAACTGCATTCATATTATTGAATACAGAGAAGTGAGACAGAGTACGCGAGGTAAGACTGAAACTCGCAAGCACAAGAGCAAAGAGCAAAATGTCAACGGACTAAAAGAATTGTGTGACAAATCTTTGGAAGGGAGTTTCTTGCGTTCTCTGCAACAACATTCAACCAAGGTGAGATTAAGCTGCCATTCCGAAATCTTTGATGTCAGTTTAAAGATCTTGCCTCTGCCTGGCGTGCAGAGACAGATTTTGACATTAATTATCTGTCAATACAAGCGAGCATGCGAGACCACGGAAGTAATTGAGAAGAAAACAACTAGCTGTCGTCCATTGATGTACTCGACAGCCGCAAAATTCGTGACGAAAATTAGGACAGTTTTCAAAAACATCACAGAACCCGTCGTAATCATAACGATATTCCGATATAGGATGTAGAATGGCCTCAATTGATAGGTTTTATCATGTCCCACTACATACTGAGTAGGACTACAATGCCCCCAACAATCATACTCTTAATAAAATAATAAGGGAAAGCACATCTTTAGCTTCTTGCAGAAAGTTCAGGAACAACTTTATTTTAAGCCGCAAAATACAACAGATTTCAAGATATAAGGAAAAGTTGCAACTAGGCTTGCTGCTGTAAAAGTCTTTCGTGGGTTTGTACCCGAAAATGGGACCAAAAACCGTGCAAATGGGCTTTAATGAGCAGACTAAAAGGTCCGCCTCTAAGATGTTTTTTTAGATAGCAGTGTATGTTTCATCCACAGAGGGTAGAGAAGGGATCTGTGGACGTCACTTCCTTGCAGCCACCGGACATATGGGAGTTTTCAGGTCAGACCAATCCCCTCGCCAATGCAGGGACACTCCCATGAACGGCATACAACACTTTTCAAATAAGGCATCGTATTTTTTCCTGAACTCGGCAACTGTGTCGGCAGCAAAAACATCAGGGGGAGGGGGTCATTTCGTGCTTTCACTGCGCGCTTTGAGAGACGATAGATGTGCAGAAGGCTATCTGTCCGTTGTACCACTAGCTTGAGGCAATGTCCGCGCGTAGGCGTACCGAAGGCCGGTTTGAGATACAATGCAAGCTCCGGGATCTCACCGCAAACGACCACTTTATACATCATAATTTGGTTGCCTCTGGAGTGTCGAAATTCGAGGGTAAACAGGTTCAGCGCCCCGGATATGGCAGCCCCCTTAGTTCAAGTACTATTCTTTACCCCAACCGTTGTACATATTCGATATCAGCCACCTCGCCCTTCGTACACGGGAACCAAGCAGACGATCCATATTCAATGGTCGGGCAGATGAACGTGACCATGAGCTTACGGAATATCTGCATGGACCAGGACGTGAATG